CCTTGGGACAACAGGTATTAAAGCCAAGATTTCAGTGCCAAGCCAAGTAAAATATCTCTGTTTAAGTTGTATCTGAAAATACATGCAGAGCAGGGACCTAAAAATCGTGCAGCCGGAGTTGAACCCCAACACGAATATGGAGGATTTGGGAACTGGCAACGAGCCGACGCTGGACCCTTTGATTTTAATCATGCACAGGCTGAGCCTTTCCAGAATGCAGGGAGGACCATGTTTCATTCCTCCATGCACAATGTTAACAGCAACTGAGGTGGTCTCTATCTCAAGTGCTCCCAAAATTTCGTCATTTTTTTCCCGTACCTCCCTTGGCCTTTCTGAGGGGAGAGGCTACATGTTAGGGCTTTCACAAATGAAATACTCAAGGCAGGACTTTCTCTACTTTATTTAAAACCCACAAAGGTATCTTGGGGGAGGGGGATATTGCCCACGTTGGTCCCCTTGAATCTGTATGGGTGATCTGTGCCAATGCAATCTCTGGAGCAATTTTACAATGATTGGACTTCGCAACGCATTTACAGACCACAGAAGTAAAGATCAACATACATGTACAATGTACACTATCACAGGCATACTAGGAGATGCCTTCACGCTCACTGGGTCCTTGCTAGCTTCATGCTATCACCGTCAAATCATGAATGGGCAAGGTCCTGGGTGTCCTAAGCCTTGACAAGATAACTCCTCTGGGGAAGACCCAACCCAGCTGAGGGCCCCCCAAGGAGGCCAGTTAATTAGCCACTGATTGGTCACAGAGTAGGAAGTCTGATGACACAATTATCAGGAGACCTCTCAAGAGGGTTGTAAGATGATACAATGGAGGGGGAAGAGATAGGGGGTCAGTGTGGGTGGTAAATTTCAAAAAAGACAAATGGCAAATGCTTTGATCAAGGAAAAAACAAAAAACATCACTACAAACCATGGAAGAATAAAACCAATACATCAAAAATCTACTGATGCTGAAAAAAAATGCCTGGGCTGGCCACGGAGCAGGGCAAATTTTTAAAAGTGATACCCTGAGGTACTTTCTGAGCCCATGGAGACCTGAAGTTTTCACTGCACCCAAGGTAAGCAATGTAAATTCATGTACATGTACATGTAAAAATTGATTCACCAGTGTTGAAAATGTACGTAAAATGGAGGATTTGTCAAGTTTGTACAAACAAATAGTTTAATTTTGCCTGTCCCCATGAGAGATGGATTGGTGACTAGATGAGGATAATACTGCGCCTGGTGACCTCTCTGTGGGTAGAGATTCTACCTTGACAAAAACAACTGATGGGGCCAGGACTCTGACTTGCAGCACGACAGGTCCCGGCGTGGCCCTCCACCCAAAAATGAACCTTCGGATGCCACCACCTCCCTAAATCTACCCAACCGACCACGCCTCTTCAAAGAGGATATGAACAACAGGAAACACTTAGAAAACTTATACCTCACCATTGGGGAATCTTCCCCCCAAGAGACTCGTGCCGAAAAAGAAAAAAAAAAGAAAGAAAAAATTGAAAAACTCAAACCGCTTTTAGGAAGTTGTAATGAAATGGGCTTCCTGAAGCATAAATTGACTCAATCTGCCGCTGTTACTTGCAGGGCTTATGTTGGTTTTTTAATTTATTCATTTAAGCAGAGCAAATTAAAGTTTCCTTCTTGGCGATGATTGATTTTCAGAGGTGTTCGAGGGACCCCAACTGGTATGATTCACACAGAGCAATCTCAGATTTGGCGTCCTGACCAGCTGTGCATGATGCGGTGCCACTGAAGAGCACTGGAGAGCACTGAACCAGTATTTCACTTTTGGAAGAAAAAACTTGTTTTGTGATCGGGTCTTGCTAGCAATCTTGCTCCACAAACAGAGGAAGTAGGAAAAAAAACTACATCAGAAATACTGTAAACGGGTGGCACATTTGAAAAATCTGACCTCATCTTTCCCATGATCAACTCATCATCCACGGCTTCAACGTCAACTGAGAATCATTTCTGCATGTTTTAAGTGAAGGACCAAATGAAAATCCTCCCAAATTTGGCTTGGTACGAAGCAATCTGTTGCTTCTAAGTAAATGGTGCAGTGCCTGACCCATGGGATCTCAACTCAGAGGGACTGAAATTCACAGAATAGGAAGTCACAGCGAGTTTGGAGGTACAACAAACACCACAGCTTCTCTCTTCCACAGAAAACACGCACAGGCCACTGACAGACTCAATCGGCATGGCAGAACAAGGCCATCAAGTCCTATTTGCTTCCTTAATCTCTTGGCCATGTTTTGGAAACAGCTGTTAATGAGGTGTTTTAAACTCTGGTAAACAGCTCAACCAGGAAACCAGACATAGTTATTTCCTCCTTGGGATGATTTATGGCTCCTTATCTGGCCGGTTGTTTTGGCAGCTCTGACTTGCTTTGGGAAATAATAATGTCCTTTTCCTTTCAAAACATTTGAGCAGAAGCCCATTAAAAAGGATATATTCAAGGTTAAAGATGCATCGACAGAAAGTTCAGCAGTGGAGACAAAAAAGCGAGCCATATACATGTAAAAACTCAACCAACTGAAAATTTGATATTGAGGTAACTGTGGTCTGCTCAACCTTGCAAAACAAATAAAACAGATTCTATGCAGGCTGATACTTGCCCAAGTGTGCACCTCCCATAACAAGTCTGTGCACATTCCGATGAAAATTACAGTGAGTTCAACATGGGTGAATTTTGCCCGGTATATTTTGTTACCAAGGTTACCGAGGAAAATCGACCGCTGTTCAATGGGTCATCGTCGCTCAAACTTTTCCCCAAGTTGTGGGTCCTTTGTATCGAATACACAACCAGCTCGTCCACCTGAATGTGCTCATCGCTATTCAGGCCATCAAAAGTATCAAACTTGGACTTCAATCTCAAAGTAATTGACAGTCACCGGTTGCACTGTGCATGCTCAAGTAGTCAAAATGAGAAACCAGTTCAGCGTGAGTAGACTTGAGTTCACATAATAGGGCAAGAGAGACCAGATTTCACAGGAGTCAAAATTTCATATGACATCAGTTTCCAGTCGAGGTGTTAATTTGTGTTTCTGACTTTTCTGTGAGAGAAAAAAAAAAATTTCAGCAAGACTAGTGACGGCCCCTTTAAAATTCGCGCCCCGTTATCTAATACCACTCCAGTCTCTCTCCCAGGATGTCATTTTATACCCCGTCATGCCCCTTGATTTACGACTTGTCTGGTTGAAAACCAATAATCATCAAATTACTCGCCACTGTCCTTGTGAAGAAAAGAACACACACGAAAAAAAGGAAAGAATAAAGTGTCGGGTAAAGTGATCAACCCGGTAAACATTGGCTCATGGTGAAATTTGTGATGTCAGGGAGTGAGAATTGCCAATTTGGATTGAATCTGGGTATGACAGTTTCAAATGGGGAAGATTTTTCTCGCATTTCCTATTTTGGCGTTGGAGTCTTGAAGGTAAAGTTTACTTTGGACTACACAACCAATGATTGAATCAGAGATGAATCAATCAAACAAGGCACAAATGGAACAAACTTTCCACCTGATTCACATTCAGAGAAGCAAAGCAAGTTTATAAAACCTGGAATCAGAACATCCCATCCAATCCAAATCCAACGCGAAGGAACAGCTTCAACACTGTGATGTGACACAACAACGGAAGAACCAACAGTTGACTCCCTACCAAAATCCTGATGATATCAGGGGCGAAGGGACAACACCCAACCGAAAAGGAGGAAGTGTGATTAAAAAATCATTGGAACACAAATAAGCTCCGTGCCCGACGGGGGATCTCGCCCGAGCCGACAGACCTTGTACAACCGACCCAAATGTCCCGCTGATGCCAGATAATGAAACTGTGCAGTGGTGCGCATCTAGTAGAAGGAAAACATACTCAAAGTATACTGCTAACAAAACAGGACTCTGTTTTCAATTTTTATGGCTGGGAATTACGTTTCCAATTTTATAAGTGCCCATTACGAGTCTGTGGACCTTATGCACAATGGAAGTAATACCATGAGTTTGAACTGGTCAACTATTCATGACGAGTCTGGAATTCAGCTTTCCCCGACTCCTCTGAATTCTCTTTTCGTCTTTGTGAATGATTCTACTAGGATAGTTTATCAGGTCACTGTAGTAAGTATTGTCTGTTTTTACTCCGAATGTACTGAAATTCACCGAAAATTCACAAAATTTTAACCCTGACAGTCCTCAATCCTCCAACAGGTGAAGGATTGAGGAGTGTTAGGGTTAAGGTTGAAAATCCATGTAATTGTGCATTTCCAGGAAGCTTTAAGTCCAGAGTTTGATTTTAATGCCAAAAACACAAAACTGCTGGATTACTATTCCATCGCGGATTTGTTCAGTTTTTGGAAAAGTCCCAGGGACCAACAAACAGTACATTTCTCCCTCAATTGGGGCCAATTAAATCATTGGGAAAAAAGAACAAAGTTTGGATTTTACATTCTTATGTATAAAATGTAAGTGATGAGTGGGTCAGAATAAAAAATTTGTCAGTTTACACAAAAATGACAGGTGGCATGCTGTTGGTGAACCACAGAGTAACCTATGCGCACAGCAGTCTGAAGATACTGTACATGTACATCACACATATAACTCTGCGATGAAATGACCAGACATGTATTATGCTAATATCCATTCCTTTTAAATTAACCTAACATCTCCTTTCTGCATCAAACAACCATTCTGTAGAGGACATCTTTTCCCATTCTCAATTTCTGAGCATCAAGAGAAATGCATTGAGGGGGATTCAGAACAGTTCCAAGACTCCATCCTAGATTGACAGCTCAAATTGAAATCACCCCTGAAACTTCACACCTATGGTACGGTCCAGCAGAAAAAGTTGCCAGGCCCCACCCCCCTGGCATCCAGCAGTGATAATGATGAATGGACCCTGTGTGCTCCCAGCGTGGCTAATGGCTATCATGCGGTCAGGGCTCCTCCCACTGAGCTGTCCGTCACTGACATTTCACAGGCAGGGGGTGTGTGGGTTGACACTGCTTTGGTGCACAAACTCATGCTGTGCATTCTCTATGCAGGAACAAACTGCACTGTACACCGCAGTCCATCATCAGTGTAGCGGTTAGCCTTTCTTGGATAACCACAAACCAAAGCATTTCTGGTCACTTCACCATTAGCAATAAAAAAGCTACTTGAAGGCTACTTGAAAAGCAAGACCAGCAGCTGAAAATTGGACTGCACTTTGTGACTGAACTCCGATGTCAGATCTTCTCAACTTGCTGCAGGGTTTTGAGGTGAACAACCGACCAAACTCAAGGACAGCTAGCTCCATCCCCTTGGATTTTTAAAAACATTTGTCGGTGGAAAGGATTTGCTGTTTCCTCATCAAGCCTGCCATTAGGAGAAAGGGGAGATTACTTGAGTAAGCTTTGGCTGGCAGAGAGGTAGTCTCATTTACCCAGGCGAGGGGTACTGACAGACTCGGCACCCTCAAGTTTTCCCAAAGATGCCGGAATTTACTTGCTGGTGAAAAGAAAAGGGTTGAGCTGATTATTTTCTTGACATCAGTGGGCAGTGATATCACCACTGTGTACTTGGGAAATGGAGGCGATGTTCATTTGGGCTCTGGTTGTGACCTTGGTTTGTGGCGGGGCTCACGTTGGGGCTAATCCCTTCAGGGTTGAGCCCCAGAACACCAACGCTGCGCTGGGAGAAACGGTGGTCCTGCCCTGCATTCTCCGCAACACCACCCTGTCGCACTGCAACGTCTTCTGGTACCGCTCCGACCAGCAGGTCTACATTAGCCGCAACCGACGCATTATCGACCGCTTGTCCCCGGACGTCCGTGAACGCTATTCTATCCTCGGGAATCGGTCCAGTGGTGTCTACTCGCTGCAGATTCAGGACGTGGCGGAGGCAGACGCCGGCGAGTACCAGTGTACGTGCTTCCCGCGATCTCACGCCAACTCCTACCTCTCCCCGCCCGCGGCGATCTACATTGTCATCAGGCCCCCCCCTGAGTACCCCATTTGTCGCCTGCGGGAGGGGACAGGTCCTCTGATGGTTGGACAGCGAGTGTCATTTGTGTGCGAGGCCAATGGTGGGCGGCCCTCGGTTGCCCTGCAGTGGATGCAGGGGCGGGAGAACCTGGTGGCCGACTTCACCTTCAACCCCCACTCCATCAGCGTCTACCACAAGACGCTGGCACTGGAGGACAGCGAGGAGATCCTGACCTGCGTGGCTTCGGGGCTGGCGCTGAAGAGCCCCCGCAACTGTACCGTTGGTCCCCTCAGCATCGTCTCCCCACTCCAAATCCAGACGCAGAAGATCGTCGCCAAGCATGGCGGGCGCGAGGACCCGCGTGTCGTGTTCACTTGCAACTCAAATATGAACCTTACCGGGTTGGTTGCCATGTACAATTATACGTGGTATGCGAATGGTGCTCGGATTACCACGTCAACCCCAGGCTTCATTCTTGGAAACGACGGCACATCCGTCCAGGTGACGGACTTATCGCTGTTCTCCCAGAACATCCACATTGTGTGCGCGGCCCATGGAATGCAGGGCTCCCTCGGCAACGTCAGCACTTTTCTGGACATGGACAGCATCGTTGGCTTCCCGACCATCTCTCATGCCGGACATCCCAAAACTGACCCACCAAACAAAGGCATCGTCTCTGTGGCAGGAAATCAGCATCTCGACGTCCGGCCCTTCGTCTACCTGATACTCGGTGCCTTTATTCTCATGACGACCATGATCGCAATTGTGGTCTGCACACCGCGGACGTGCTGCCACCCCAAGTCTGGCTCCCGCCTGCGGCGCCGCGACTCCAAGTTCACCACCATGCACTACGTGCAGCAGCCCACCGGTTCCCCAGCCCGGGCCATCGCTCACCAAGAATCCCTCAACTTGTATGAGTCCACTGCAGACAGTGACACTGAAAGCATGCAGCAGGGCGCCACCCTAACAGCACCCTCATTAACCCAGCAACAGCAGCAGCAGAAACAGCAAGTCCAAGCCACCCTACACGTGGTCGTCCACTCCGGGAACAATTCCTCTAATCAGCACCAGACGCTGACCCGCGGCAACTCGGGCACCCTAGCCGACGACCAGTCCTCCGTCTACCAGGAGATGCCCCCCACCCCTCCCCCACTGCCGCCTCACTCTTCCCACACTCTCCGACTCCACCCACCCAAGACCCCCTCCGGCGCCCTGCGCACCCAAACCTGGGGTCACTCGTCCTGCAAGGCCAACGCGTTCAACTTTGAGCAAGTCCCTGCCGACCTCATGCACTACGACCACCTCCGAGGCCACCGAGGCTGCTATGTCCAGACCCTTCCCATGAGGCCCTCCCGACCCGCCCTCCACCAGAAGTTTCTGCACACCCCGCAGTACGCGGAGTTGAACAAGTTCAACCATAAAGGGACGGCGGAGGGCCTGTATGAGAACGTGCCGGTACCCATACACCACGGACGAAGTCTGTCTCTTAATGGATACTGAACATGAGACGCATTTGTAAATAAACTTAACTTTAAAATACACATGTAGATGGATCGGTATCGATCGGTACATGTGTCTTGTATATTTCCCCGTACATAGTCACGAACGAAAAGTTACTTAGTTTCAAACATTTTTCACATCTTTATATGACAGACACGTACAGCAGAGAATTTATCGCAGATATTAACTGACCGAAATTTGTCATCTGTATGTTAATCACAAAAACTGTAAGAACAGTTAGAAAAGAATTGTACACTGCAGTGCCCTCGCCAGAGTCGCATAGAACTCTCTCTCGGACAAGAGTTAGGGTCCAATTTCTTGTCTAAAACCAACAGTAGAACTTTGACAGGTGGAAAGGACAATTTTTAGAAAAAGAACGAGCTTACAGTTACCCCAGTACTGAACCAACACGTATATGTACATGCCTGTTGAAATCACTAACTATTCTGTGAGAATGTTTTCAACACTGTACTGCTTTTAACTTAAACGGTAACGAACATGTACGTGTCATGACTTGTTCTGAGCCAAGTATCATCTCATCCATTTGCCGTTATACTTTAAACAGGCCTTGGTTTTCATACTGTGTGAACCCTGATCTAAAATTTGGCTAAAATTCAACATTTGGTCTTGCAGTATTTCCACCAAGCCATGGCTGTGGCTACCACTTGGGTTGGAGGTTTGTTGACAAAACTTTAAAAATGCGACGGGTTTACAAAATTCTTGAGTAAGGACACACTTTGAGAAATCTCCTAAAGTGGGACTTGAGGAACACATTTATGCACATTCTTGATAGTGGCAAGTCCTGACCAGGGGTGAGATTGACCAAAGAAAAAAAAATAGCTGAAAACAGTTGAAAAAGGCATAAAGAAGCTAAACTGTGAAAATCTCCTTTACTTTTGTACACAGCCAGTGAGAAAAAAAAAGCTGAAATTCAAAACAAAAGAAGCTGAAATCAGCTGAAAAGCTGAGAAATCTCACCCCTGGTCCTGACCCAAGTTGGTGATTTTGACCTTCCTTTGTAAGACCGGGACACAAATGTGGGATGGAGAGTTTACCATATTGCTCTGATTTGTACACCTTTTAAAAAGAAAAGTGTATTCTCAAGTTTGCATGCAGTGCATGACAGTTAGAACACATAGGTTTCTTTACACAATAAGTGACACCATTCTCAGGGCCTGGAATTTCATTTTCTTTTGTGCAAGGGCACTTAATCCTTTGCAAAGGGGCAAATAAACAACCTGAAAATGCCTGCAGGCCATGCCTTGGGAAGCTGTGGCCTCCGGGCTCAACTGTGGAACCAGGACCAAACTCTAAACATTTGACTGTAAAGACACTTTCATATCAGCAAGTAATCTTTTTTGTCGTTAGTGACTTGTTTTCTGTGACTGTGCATAGGTAAAAAAGTATGTACAGTAACACTTTTTATCTATTAATTGTAATAAATTAAGAGTCAAGGAAAGCAGAAAAACAACTGAAAACAAAATGAACGTCTTGATTAATTCTGATTTTTAAAGATGCTAATCTCAGCGGCAAAAAATTAGCAGCAAGATATTTGGAGACATCCTGTTTAAAACAAAAACTTGGCTGCCAATGGTGCATGCACTGGGCTTGTTTTCAGACTGATGCTTGTTTTGGAAACAGCGTGATAAAAACTTCTGCCAGTCATATGATGGCATAAAAAGGTCACCAGGCTTTTCAAGCCTTTTCCAACGGTCAGGTGACATGTAAGTTTTACTCTGAAAATGCACCTGGTGAAAAATGAATGTTGCTACGTGAATACAACATGTACGTGTATTAAAAAAAAATTTTTCTGGATTTCATTTGATGCGTCACATGACACGAGAAAGAGGTTTCCTGTACATTTTGTGTACCGTTACATGTCCATGCACTAGTAGGCCTACATTGCTCGGTCTGTGTTCCTGGGGAACAATGACACAAAACATGTACATGTACCAAAACAAGAAACTTGTATAGTATGCATATACATGTACTTAGTTCTAATCTGAATGAAAAAAATATGAACAAGCTCCGTTTGGGAGTTGTCAATCGACAAAAATGCCATATTTGTGGGGGGAAGGGGTGGAGGAAGGCAGGTGAAGTCAACCAGTGTCAGAAATGGTCACGGTCATTAAATGTTCATGGAGAGATCTGTCCCCCCCCTAGAAACTGCATTACTACTGTACAGTTGTGTTTGGGTTGGCTACTGGTTTTAGAGGTCGTGTTGAAGGTTTCCGCACCATCCAGGTTTATTTGCTCAAGAGGTGTGAAGGCTAGAAAACATGCGTGTCCGATCATGCACAATCTGATGTGTTTTTCAATGAGGAACATGGCCGCTCATGTTGTTGTTTTTGGACAGTGCAACAAATTCCTCCCGACTTCACTGGCCGACACACAATTTGTGAAAAGAATCTCATTCTGAAGTTCCGCCAAACCTCATCACGACTTCCAACAAGCTTTCCATGAGCCCAGTTCAGGTAATCTTCCAAAACAATGCAAAATAATTCTGTCAGTGGTCTGCCTTAACCGTTGATGTGTGCAAACCAAACTTTCAGGATCTGGGAACAAGACCCAACAACAAGAAAGGGGGGGGGTTTCCCAGATAATCACTGCCTAATACGTACTTATCTTCAGCACTTTAACGACTTACAGAAAAGCTTTGAGTTGATGCTGGGATTCGGGGAAGAAGGGGGCTGCAAAACCAGAAAAAAGAAAGATTTAGGAGGGATTATTAATGATAAAAAGAAAAAAGGTCAATGCCACTGACCTCTTAAAAGATAACTACACGCAACACTGAAACATCTTGCATGACTTTGGTAATGTCACATGATTGAACATTATCCCCCATCCGTCAGTCTCGGAAAAGTTTCATTAACCCCTCTTCACGGAGTGGATCAATTTCCTGTTGTCTCGGTTATAATTAACCGAGGGATGCGCGCTGAAAAGAGATGGACCACGAATTTACCCTGCTCTGTGTGGAATAGCACGCTGTTCGTCAACTACGTGTTCTCGCATTTCTTTGATTTCTTGTGTAGGGATATCTGAAGCCTGCATTTGCTCTGCCTCCCCCTTCCGACATCTGTTTCCTGTTAAGTCCTGTAACTCGAAGCGAGATTGAATCCCAAACTCATTCTGCACGCTCCAGCGGAGCGTGGTCTTTCCTGGTGCAGAAATTTCGGATACTTTTTTTCTTCTATGCGTCGTTCAGAACTGATCGGCAATTCCAGCAGGAACGGTGGCACAAAAAATAGGACAGAGTAACACCAACTTTTACCGATCAGAAGGCAAGGAGTAACTCTTTGACTTGCATTTCAACAATCCTGTCCATCTCGTCCTATACAGCAACCCTTTAAAACTCTGACTGGGGCTCGGAACATCAAAACAAAGATGTCGGAAGAGCTCAATTAAAATGTCTGCAAAATAGAAAAACAGGCTATGTTTTTGGTCGCCCATCTTCATAACTTGACAAAAACTCTGCTGGAATTCGTGGAAGGAAAAAAAAACAGGGAAAGCAATACTGGACAAATGAAATAACATGATTTTTTTCCAAGGTCATGAGTGTATACAAAAATATCTCGTGACTTCAATCAGAGAAAAAATTTAAATGACCTGGACAACTGTAACACCACACAGGCATGCTGACAACATTTCCAAATTTGATCACTTGATTGCAATTTCAGACAAGAAAAAAAAATCTCCAACTCTGTTAGTCAGAGCACCTAAGTTGAACCCCCCCAAAAGTACACAGTGACTCTTTGGGGAAAATCAAATAAAACTGGAAAACTGGAAGAACAGTTCACCCCCCCTCCCCGAGAAAGACAAAAACAGCATAAATTCTCCCGGTCCGATTGATGGTAATACAAGCCGTCAAAATGCCTAGGTGTTTAAAGAGACATTCTCAACCTGATAAGAAATCCGTGCAAGGCTTTGCCAGGAATGCCATCAATTTCAACTTATCTCTTTCCAACTCTCTCCTTCTGCCCCTCTCCCACCCTCTAAGTTTGCTGGGCCGAGGCTGGTCAAGTTTACAGGCCTGCAGGGCCCCATGATAAACCCATTCATGTGCAGCAAAGTCCGCCTCGCCTCAGGGCAGAAGCGGTGAAAATTATTCCAGCCCGCAGTCAGGTTCTATTTTGGGACTGTTCAAAAGCCGGAAAGCTCTTCTGGGAGGGATGGAAAAATTTTCGGTCACATTCAATGACAGTGTGAAAGAAATGCTCTTATAGATCACAATTCATGTGAGTAAATACTCTAGAAAGATCTTCATTACTTCTTTTGTGTTTGACACTGCATGAGATTTCAGAATCACAAGAACTCCAGCCCTGACAGTGAAAATGCCCAAGGTCGAGGTTGCACGTAAATTCAAGTGCTGTCGTTGTAGCTGACTTCTACCAAATGTTATAGATGCCGTTAGTACATGTATGATGGCCTGCACATGTGGAAGGCCCATAGGGCTACCCGTCCATGGATTTTATTAACATCTGGCCCTCACTAACAACGCAAAAAACAACCCTACTAATTCCGACCAAAACGAGCACACTTTTGGCGATTCCCAATTCTCTTCCACTTGTATCGCTGTCGGGAGAGAAACAACTCTTGGCATGCCAGTTACACAATCCTGAATTTCGATCTGTCAGGTGACTGTTCAAGGGGATTTGAGACAACGATCAACAATGTCTCGGCTGGCCAGCATTCAAGGGACAATTTCTCTACTTAGTAAATTCCAAACCGAGCAGTAGGAAAAAAAAGTTGCACCTTAACAAATATGTAACCAAAGTAGCTGTTATTCAACGTGTGTGTAGTCCCAACGACGATGATACTGATGGCCACTCGTGTTTTTCTTCCAAGAATGGATTTCTGTTGGAAAATATTCCACATTCCCTCCTTTCATTTCCACGTGCCCAAATTAACCTGCACTTCCCAATAAGCGCTAGGGGTTGGAGCTCTTTCTTCTCTTCTCCTAATTCTTGGTTTCTGACACTTCCACAGGGTTGGAAACCCTTGAACTCTCTCTCTCTCTCTCTCTCTGCAACACTGACTAAGCGTTAGAATCTGGTTCATGCTGATGAGAGAGCTGCTGTTTCGGCGCCGACACGCCGACAACTTAACTCAGCGGGCGAGAAGGAGGGGGAAGGTGTTTTTTTTAACTCTCAAGTGGTATCGCTGACTTGAAATGAGCCCTACGTTTGATGAAATCTGCAATTCACCTTTGGAAATAAATCCAAATGTGTGTGAGTGTGCAGTGGGTGGACAAGTGCAGAAATGTTCGGTTGACGCAAAAAAGAGGCAAGTGTTTCAACACAATAATTCCGGACTCGGGACTTGCTGGAAGTGTGAGCATGAAAATGACGCATGGGCCCTATGATCGTGCATCATCAATGCAGCTCAACTTCTGGATTTGTTGTCCTGTTGGCATGGTAACAAAGGAAGAAACGAGGGGGAAATGAAACAAAAGATCCTTTATCGCACTTCAAGTCAAGGGACTCTCTCACCCTTTGCAATAAGGCCAGAAAAGTAAAACCCACTCTGATCTGGAATTTCCAATTCCCAATCGGTCCCTCCCCACAGAAGAAAAAGTGGGGAATGCGCCAGTTGAGGCCTCTGCACAGCTGAACCGTGCTGTGTTGCTTCTTCAGTATGTCCTAGGGAACAAACTCCCCAAAGAACGCAGGCAACAAAGACCGACATTCACAAGAACAATCCAGCAACAAGCAAAGAATGACTGCGGATGGGACAATCCCATTTATTGTCAAGAGTTATTTGACACTGTAGGTGTATATATCTTTTGACGCAGATGTAGGTGAAATTTCTCCCCTGGGAGTTGCAGCATCTGCCACTGGAACATTCGTCACAGCGTCTGACGGGATGTAGTCCATCATGTTAGC